TGTGCTGGTGGGTCTGATTGTAGTTGGTGGAAATGTCAGAAGGATGGTGCGTTGGATTTGGAGGTTGGTGGGCTGGTACATGAGGACCAGGGGGGACTCTATCCTTATTGTTGTTGGGGGCAGGGGGTTTGAGAGCAGAACTGCAAGAAATGGAAGACATGCGGTTGAAGGCATCCTTAATTACAGAGGAGGGGAAATTCTGATCCTGAAAGTAGGAAGATAACAGATGTCCTGGAATAAAATGCCTCAACCTAAGAGCAGATGAAGTGGAGGCAGAGGAGTTGAGAGTATGGGATAGCATTTTTACAGGAGTGTGGGTGAGAGAAGGTGTAATTGTGGGAGTCAGTAGATTTGAAATGGACATCAGTGCTGAGTCGCTTTTCGGAGATGGAGACGAAGAGGTCCAGGAAGGGGAGGGAGATGTCAGAAATGGTCCGAGGGAATTTTAGGGCGGGATGGAAGGTGTTGGTGAAGTTGATGAACTGCTCGAGCTCTCTGCAGGAGCTCAAGGCAGCACACGAAGCAGAACCGACCTCAACATCACTGAGGCCAGACGCCAATTCTCTGACACCTCCTTCAATCGTCCCCTCAAATATAACCCCACCTCTGATCACCAAGCTATCATTTCCCAGACCATCAACAACCTCATCACTTTGGGAGATCTCCTGTCCACCTGACAGTTCCCCGACCCTGCACCATCCATTTCTGTCCCCTTCCCAAAGTCCATAAAACTGACTGCACCGGTTGACCCATTGTTTCTGCCTGCTCCTGCTGCACTGAGCTCATCTCCTCCTACCTTGACTCTGTACTTTCTCCTTTGGTCCAGAAACTCCCTACCTACATTCCTGACACAAGTCACGCCCTCCACCTTTTCCAAAACTTTCAATTCCCCTGCCACCAACACCTCATCTTCACCATGAATGTACAGTCCCTTTACACCAGTATCCCCTATACAGAAGGCCTAAAAGTCCTCCACTTCTTCCTCTCCCATAGGTGAACCAGTCCTCCTCCACTGAAACTCTCATTCACTTGGCAGAACTGGTTCACACCCTCAACAATTTTTCAATTGATTCCTCCCACTTCCTGCAAACCAAAGGGGTGGCCATGGGCACCAACATAAGCCTGAGCCATGCCTGCCTCTTTGTCGGATTCGTGGAACAGTCCCTCTTCCACAACTACACTGACACTACTTCTCACCTCTTTCTCTGCTGTATTGATGATGACATCAGTGCTGCCTCATGCTCCCGTGAGGAGTTCGAGGAGTTCATCAACTTCACCAACACCTTCCACACCAGCCCCAAATTCACCGGACCATTTCTGACACCTCCCTCCCCTTTCTGGACCTCTCCGTCTCCATCTCTGCAAACCAACTGATCACTGACATCCATTTCAAACCCACTGACTCCCACAACTATCTCGACTGCACCTCCTCTCACCCACCATCCTGTAAAAATGCTATCCCATACTCTCAGTTCCTCTGCCTCTGCCGCAGGATGAGGCATTTTACTCCAGGACTTCCCAGTTATCCTCCTACTTTAGGGACTGGAATTTCCCCTCCTCTGTAATTAAGGATGCCCTCAACCACATCCCGTCCATTTCCTGCATTGCTGCTCTCAAACTCCCTACCCCCAACAAGTATAAGGATAGAGTCCCCCTAGCCCTAATGTACAACCTAACCAATCTCTGAATCCAACACATCATCCTCCGACATTTCCGCCACCTACCATCAGACCCCACCGCCAAAAAGATATTTCCTTTCCCACCCCTGTCCGCTTTCCACAGGGGCCATTCGTTCCATGACTCCCTCGTCAGCTCTACACTCCCCACCAATTTCTCCACCACACCCGGTACCTTCCCCTGCAACCGCAAGAGGTGCAACTCCTGCCCCTCTACCTCTCTTCTCACCTCCATCCAAGGCCCCAAACAATCATTCCAGATCTGGCAGAGATTCACCAGCACTCCATCCAACCTGATCTACTGTATCCGTTACGCTCGACGTGATCACTTCTATATCAGGGAGACGAAACACAGACTCAGGGACCAGTTTGCAGAGCATGTGCACTCTGCACGCACCAACCAACCCGACCGTGCGGTTGCCATCCATTTTAATTCCCGCTCTAACTCCTCTGGTGACGTGTCCATCCGTGGCCTCCTCCACTGTCAAAGTGAGGCCAAATGTAAACTGGAGGAACTACACCTGATATTTCACTTTGGGAGCTTACTGCCCAATGGCCTCCATATTGACTTCACCAGCTTCAAAATCTGTCCATCCCCCACTTATCCCATGTCCAGCCCTCCCCCTACTCCTCACCTGACCTAACTAACCTGTCCATCTTTCTCTGCATCAATTCGTTCCACCCTTCCCACTGACCAACCACAATAACCTCCTACCTGCAGCTACCTATCACCATCCCACCTACCCTTGCCCCAGCTGCACCCCCCTCCCTCTATTTTCTTCTGGGCTCCCCTCCCCCTCCCCAGTCCTGAAGAAGGGTTTTGGCCTGAAATGTTGACTTTCCTTCACCTCGGATGCTGTCTGACCTGCTGTCCTTTTCCAGCTTCACATCTGTTGACTCTTGAATCTGAAGCTGAATGGTCTGCTCTCGTGCCATGAAGAAGGCTGGCATGTGAGACTGTAGCTCAAGGTGCATGAAGTGTTAGTGGCAAGTAGTGATAGCTCTCTTGCTGGAATTAGCACTGGAAGAAATTGTACTTGTTAAATAATTTTAAACCTCGGTAAATACAATTCCATCAGACTGCTGATACTGTGGAGCCTTATCTACAAGAGTTAACTTGCCATGACATTTGTATTTAAATATTCATGAATGCAAAAAATCATTTACAGCTGTTAATGGGACCACTATTAGTAACGTAGTGGTTTTAATGAAAGTGGTTGTGCATTTTGTCTTAGCTGCTACCTGTTTCAGTCTCACACTTCAATATAATGTTTGTCCAAATTTCTAGCAAAGACATCAGAGGTTTTCGAATGATTGTGGTACTCATGGTCCGATGGCAAGTTAATTAAAGAACTCCCTTTCAAAGCAAACTTCAAATGCCATAGCTCCATAATGAAATGTAAAATAAGAACTTTTCTGAGTTTAGTCATTAAGAACACCAGTTGGTACCTCACACAAACATATGAAGCATCTTTTAAATGTAAGAAGGCTGTCCCTTTGGATAACCAGTTTCAATATTCTGTTCTATATTCACACAAGGGATATCTGATGCAAAGGCAACAACATTATACATAACCTCATAAGATGTCTTCATTCTCATAGGGTGACTTTGTTAAATTCATGAATGCAGACTTTTGGATTTGAAGTAAGCAAACTTTTGCCCTGAGAATCTAATTATTTGCATTAGAAAAAGGGACTGAGTAAAACAAGGCAGTGTTGTTGGCCCAAAGGAAATATGAGGATTTAAACAAAAACCTCTCCTCTGCAAATTGGGTTGCCATCTTTAAGATAAAACATTACAGATTTTTTTTTTCATTTTCTTATGTTCAAAAGTGGCTGCATTTATCAATCTTATCCTGGGCTATGGAAAAACCTTTTCTGTCTCTTGCAAGATTTGGGACTATTTCCATTCCTTTGCTAAGGTTCCCAAAGAGGAGCCCAAAAAATTCTATTATGTCGAAGTGTGTTCAGAGGATAGCTTTGTTAAGCAAACTGAAAAGATAGTGTGTTAAAACAAAACCCTAAAGCTGTCTCAAAACAGGCTCAGACTCAGTTACAGTAAAGAATGTTGTAAATTAACATTAATGGACGCTTTATCAAATGAAAAACAAATCATTGAATACAAAGTGTGTATTTATGTTGATTCTTATGGTTGGTATAACTTGTCTGAATACTTACATAAAACCATTTTTGAGTCTGAGCTTTATATCTGTGTTGTGGCACTACAATTTAGACAAATACTATTGTCAGACGTCAAAATGCCAAAGAATCTTTCAGCTGTCAGTTTATATGCAGCTTTAGTCTAGTTTGGCATGCTGTGTGCTGGCTGAAATCTATTGAAGGGACAGGCTCATGGAATAAAAGCTACATTGTTAAGCTGTCCCTGAGTGCCACACTACTAATCACTTCAAAGAAAATGGACAGTAAAAGGTGCTTGGCCCAGGCTTAATCAATTCTGCTGCTTGTAAGCATAAAGAAAAGACACAGAAAATGCGAAAGTTGTGGTGGTCTCCCAGAATTAAGCATTGACTGAATTCTCTGTATTCATTGCAAACTCTGAGTAAGCAATTCACCCAACTAAGAGTATTAGCCATGTTGTTAAATATTGATTTTTACACCACTGAATGTTTCTGATCTATGTAATAGTTATGATTCGATTTGTGTTTGAGATTATTCAACAGCCTTTGTTTCACTGCAACAATATCAATCCAAATTGGAGAAAAATAGCTTAACGGCTTTTTCTCCTGATTGGGAACCCTGGGTTGGTAAGCATTCATTACTACATCAGATCGGTCACTATTTAAACAATCTTGTGTACCAAAGTTTATAAAGAGGATAACAAAGTTGCTTCACAAAATACAAATTATAGGCTGAATTATCCAAAGATAATCCAAAGTGATTTTTAATTTGCACATGCATCTTGCTATCTGAATATTAAGGACAATTAATCAGTATGCAGAGAGAATTGTCTTTCCCAAAGAAATGCAAATTTTGTTTTTATTTTTACATTTAATCTTAGTGTTTGGCAGATAGCCATTGACAAGTTGAAAACCATTACTTTAGAATATTTAATAGACTTGTGTTTTAAACATTTTTAAAGCTGTATATTAAAGCGATTACATTTCCTGTTAATGAAATCAGAATCAAGCTTGAGAAAGTGGCATTTGAATTCAAGAGGACGCCTTCACCAATATTTAGTATGCTTCCTGTTTTCCTGAAGCAAATTGATTTTTTTTGTTTAATTCCGAATGCCTTCAAAAATTCCATTTAAAAATATTAGTCATACTCGAGCAAATGTGGAAATAGCTAAAACATTTCACTTACCTATATCAGAGTTACAAAATGCTGTTTGTGGGTGAACTGGAAGGCAGGTACATGCATCCACGAGTTCCTGAAGCCTCAGAGTCAGAACTGAGAGTAGCAAGCCAGTCACCAGGGTATTCATGTTGTCCGATAGCACAACACAGTACACCAGTCTTTCTGCTCAGCAGTGGTTGTGTGTGCAGACCTAACCTTGTGGAGCAGCGTCTCAGTAAACTTCTTTTTGCCTGCAGCAGGAATGACAGGAAGAAGCTTGTTCAGCAGTAACACAATGCAGCAACCTTGTTTAAGGTTCTCTGACTGAGCTGGCTGATTTCCCACTTTCACCACAGTGGACACTCATATTTATGGTCCGGCCAGTTCTTTTAAGCCCCGCCTTCCCTTGAAGAAAATGGCTTGTCATTGCTTGAGATCATGCATGAAAGTACATTGTTGGGACTCCAACTCTCACGTAGACCAGTTATTTCAGGTGATTTCACCAAACATTTCTAATGATTCAGTATAATTGCTGTGAAAATGATACTTAGAGGAAATAAAAAGCTGCAGGTACAGAATCTATTTAAATTATTTTTATATTTTAAACAAGAAAAATAGTTGTATTAATTTTTATACAATGCATGATTTGAAATATTAAAATAAGGAATTCCTACAGGTTGTTTTGAATGATATTGTTCTGAAATTAGTTTAATTTTTTGTCAATTCCTTCATAAGTCAAAGCTTTGACAATTAAATCCTCTGAAATGATATGAAATTATTTTCACAGCTTCCTGAACAGCTCAATTTAATCCTATTGCTAGAGATCAATTGTTATGTCAGTAATCTGCTTTCTGAATTCACTCATCAGCAGTTCAACACAAAACATTATGTAAGTCATTCCATTGTGCCGCTTTCAGTTGCAATGAAAGACTTTCTAATTTGCTAGCAGCTACTACAGACATTACTTCATAATCCTACATGATGGTCGATCTAGGAAACAAAAAAATAGTCATTAATGAAAAATGGCTCTCCGAATTTGGCAAAATCACATTAAAATCTGTAATTGATTCAAAATAGAGAGCATTTGAGAAATGAATTCACTAACCAGTTTAGGCAGGAGGCATAAATGAAAAAATATTTCCATTTTCAAGTTTAATGTAATGGTTGTAAACCTAGGTATTATCTGACTGTGTGGGGTAAGGTGAGAGAGTTACAGGACTCTTCCCTCTCCACTTCAGGGTGATGTAGCCACAGGGGGGAGTTATCTATCAAGCTAGATTCCAGAAAGACTTTCTCTACAGACTCTGTTTGAACCTCTTTTGAGGAAGGGTCACCGGACCCAAAAAGTTAACTCTGATTTTATTCCTCACAGATGCTGCCAGACCTGCAGAGCTTTTCCAGCAACTTCTGTTTTTGCTCCATTTGAACTTAATCTTGGCTGTCTGAATAATTTTACACTGCAGCAGACTCCATATCCGATGTAATGTGAACTTGTACTTTTATTTAGAATGAAACTTTTTCAATGCTGCACATATCATGGGTGATGCTATTAAATTAACACCTTCTCATAAGCCTTGGTTTCGAAAATGTTTTTGTCAGGATATTTGTGTGCAATAAATTCCATAGACAGAAGGAAGACATCAATAGCATGGTCAAGTGGGCAGAAAAGTGGCAAATAGAGTTCAATGAGAAGGAAATGAGAATAAACAAGGCAACGTTATATCACAATAATTGATAAGATGATGAAACGTGTAGAGTATCTTGGTGCATTTGTCCACAGATCTCTGCAGCAGCAAGTCAGTTGATACTGTAGTTAAAAAGGCATATGAGATATTTTGTTAGCCAAGGCAGAGTGTATAAAACATTGATTAAGCTACGGCTGGAGAACTGCATGCAGTTCTGGTCACTTCACACTTGACATCTACAAGGATGTCGGAGGGCTTGTTGCCAGGAGACCCAGTAAGATTTCTCAGTGTATATTACCAAACTCACCTCTTTAATTAACTACCTCGCCCCTTTGGAGACCCTATTATCTGATTTTAGACCCACCTTATCATATGCCATTTACCAGAACAACTCGCCATTCAGCCTTTATCCGCTGAACAACTGGCAAACCTTGCACCCACGTCATCTTTAAAAGGCCTTTGTGCACCCAGACAAGCACCGGCAATTTGGCGTTGCCCCTCACTAGCAGTGTAATGGCACAGTATTAACGAAGCCTCGCTGCCCACGCCATGTGGTCAGTACGGTTGACATTTCCTCATGTGCAAGCCCATTCTCTGGTCACAGCATGTGCACCAACTTGCGAAAGTTGTCAGGCTGGCTGAATGACCAACATGTTACATCAAAAAGGGAATAATGTTTTCCCTCTATCTCATACCCACCTCAACTATACCACATTGCATTGAATTCAGTAGAGGTTATTTATTTGATATATGATGAATTGCTGATGATTTTCCTCTCATCCAACAGCACACTTGGAAGTTTCATGACTGATGGGATGCTTTTGCCCAGCATGCATCTTCTTTTACATCATAGTGACTAACTTCTACATCACTGAGATGGTAATTTTAGATCTGCAAGCACCAATGGCATTGTGCAATTTGCCTTTGACCAATATTTGAACACTAAAAATGTTCACTCTGCATGCATTGCAAACTGGTAAAGAAATTATTGTGAATGAAATATAGCCAGAGTCTGCAAATGCAAGCTTCATGTATTTGTGCCTTCTGTGTCCTAATGTCCAGCAGATGTGGATCCCACTCTTTCACCCATCATTAACTCTAGGCATTGTCCCAGACATTCTGGTGTTGCATTTCATCTTTAGAGTGATGGCAGGGAATACAGCTCTTGATGAACATGTCAGACCAGGCTCCACCCAGTTGTCGGATCCCACCACCACACCATCCATACCATACAGAGCCACCATGTCCATGCCCAACAGCCCAATTCCACTTATCCCCTGGTTACATTGATCTTTGCTTCAGCTGTCCTCTCTGCCCTCTGAGCTGTGATATTACATATAATGGCCTCTGTGCTCCCCCTATGGAGGTCACAGTGGTGACCATTGTCAATAAATACTATCCCATAGCCTACCATGCCCTCTGATGTTGTTCCACTTACTCCCATACAACCTTGAGTTTACTCCTGTGTCCCTTCCTGTCCCCACATTTACATGTGCCTCTGCTTCCCCTCTCAGCCTTGATTCCCCTACTCCTTTGGCATTGATCCCCCAATTACTCTTACAGACCTTCCTTGTATCTCTCTCAACAATCACTTCCAGAATGCACCTCCAGGACTGTATTCACCCCAAATCTCTGACTAAGTACTTGTTTAATATTGTTGTGGGATGTAGGCAATGCTGACTGGTCAACATTTATTGCCCATTCCTAGTTGGCTTTGAGAAGATGGTAATGAACTGCCTTGAATCGCTGCATGTACTGTCGGTAGATTCAGAATGCCATTAGGGAGGAACTTCCAGGATCTTGATCCAGAGACAGTGCAGGAACTGCAATATGTTTCCAAGTCAGGATGGTGAGTGGCTTGAAGGGGAACTTGCAAATGGTGGTGTTCCCATGTATCTGCTGTCCTTGTCCCTCAAGCTGGAAGTGGTCATGGCTTTAGAAGGTGCTGCCCAAGAATCTTTAGCAAATTTCTGCAGTGCATCTTGTAGAATATACACGCTGCTACAATTGAGCATTGATGATGCAGGGATGCTTGTGGATATGGTGCCAAGCAAGTAGGCTGCTTTGTCCTTGATAGTGTCAAGTTTCTTGAGCATTGTTGGAGCTGCACCCATCCCAGGCAAGTGGGGAATCTTCCATCACTTTTCTGACTTGTGCCTCGTAGATGGTGAACAGACTTTAGGAAGTTGGAAGATGAGTTATTCGCTGCAGTATTCTTAGCCTCTGACATGCTGTTATAGCCACAGTGTTTATATGGCAAGTCCGGTCGAGCGTCTGGTCAATGGTAACCCCCAATATATACGTAGTGTGGGATTCAGTGATGGTAACACAATTGAATGTCAAGAGACGATGGTTAGATTGTCTCTTATTGGACATGGCCATAGCCTGGCATTTGTGTGCCATGAATGTCACTTGCCACTTGTCAGCCTAAGCTTCAACAAACAGCTCCTAGACATGAAAGACCAAACTCTTGTCCCCTGTCATTGCAGCTTCCTAATAGATGGTATGCAACTCGCAGGTGTCTTGTGATAACCCTACAGGACTGACCTTTCCCATTCTCTGTCCTGTAGTTGGACATCTCTTCTGACCATGCCTCTTCAGTGTGTGCAGACTGTGTCTGTGATTGACACTGCCAGGACTCCCTAACCAACAGTTAACACCCTTTGGCTGGACTGAGGACAGAGCCCCACCACTTTCCAACATGGTCATTTGAAATGTGCTGTGTTTACCATGCAGGGAGATTGCATATGCTGTAGGTGTTAGATTGACCTTTCAGTATGCCATACAGAAACATGTTTCCCTCGACCCCTGAACCCAACATCTACCAACAAGCAGCTTGTCTGTGAGTCTACAGAAAAGGCCACATCAATACAGCAGTACTAATAGCAGGCTCAGGCTGAAGTGTTCTAATGACTGTGGTACATCGTGGTAAAGTAAGGCAGGGATGCTGTGTACATGCCAGTAAACATTAAGTGATCAAACTTGAGCAAGCGAACAGCCCTGGAAGGCAGCCTGCTCCAATCTGTGAGCTGGATACCTGAATCTGCACACCAGGTGTCCTTGATCCAGCCTTTCATTGCTAGTTACTGATGTGCCCTACAATGAAATGAAAGTCTGTGCTCCTAAGTATTCTACAAATGGATTGGAGAGGTGCCCTAATAATAAAACAAGGAACTGCGAATACTGGGATTCTGAAACAAAAACAGAAGTTGCTGGAGAAACTCAGCAGGTCTGACAGCATCTGTAGAGAGAAAAGAGAGTTAACATTTCAAATTCAGTGACCCTTGCAAAATGCTGGATACAAATATCCATAGAAACGGGGTATGCATTGTTGTTCCAGACTTGTCTTGGAGTGAAATATATTTCCCTCAACTCTCCTCTCAGCCTTCTACCTCTTAACTTAAATCCATGCTCCTTGTTTGTTGACCCCTTTCCCAATAGAAAAAATGCCTCTGATTCACCCTATCAGTGCTCTTCATAATCTTATACACCTCTGCCTCGTCGCTCTCAACCCTGATTGCTCCAAGGAAAACAACCGCAGCTTATCTAGTCTTTCCTCATAAATCAGACCCGTCAGGCAAGGCAGCATCTTAGTAAATCTCTTCTGCATTATCTCAAGTGCAATCACATCTTTCCTATAATGTTGTGACCAGAACTCCACACAGTACTC